CACCCTTTCTCTTTGCAGTCGATGTGAACGCTTGCTTTGCAATGACACTGTCGAGTGCCTGGCCATGCCCCTGAGAATAACCTACTACTACCTCACCTTCCCCACCAACATTCCTGTCTTCACCAACATTTTCCGTATGGGCCCCTCCCACTCCGTGCCCGGCGATGACATCCAGATCGTTATCACTGCTGGCAACGAGGCTGGTTTCTTCAAGACGGAGAAGTTGCCCTCTGGAGGCGTCATGTCTGTGGCGAAGCTCATCAACACGCCACAGGACTTTGATCTCTCTCTGGAGCTAAGGCTACGCCGCTTCGGCACGACCAGTATATACCTGGCCAAAGTGCTGGTGTTTGTCACCCAGGAGGAGCCCAAAGTGCCCTACAACCCTCTTCTAGAATAGACCGCAGTCTTATTGTAGTTCACTCAAAGAGTAACTTAACTGTCAAAATGCCAAATTGCCGCCAAATTTACAAAGTTACATGCTGCACATGCTTTAAAATGTGTTAAAACAGGAATCCTTTTCATCAGTAAGGTATTATATAACCATATAACTTCAGTATCTCTCTCACACAATGATCTATACAACGACAGAACAACTCTTGTGCACTGTCCATTACAGTCACATTGAAATTTGACAACTTTTTTGCTGTCTTGTCTCTTACAAACACCCTTTGTGCACGTTGTTTGTACTTCTACAAGTATACAGCTAGCCCATGGCTGGCACGGACACTAGAAACTGCGTGCATGTCTCTGCTACGTTAACAACCTTCTGTCAGCACTTGTAACTCGGATCGTTTAACTTGTGCAGTGACTTCCTGAGGTCTTTGTTTTTTTTTTTATTTTCAAACATCTTTGCTGTAGCTGATTTAACAAAATGTTTTGACATTAGATGACTTCTCTGATGCAGCCATGTTGGTTTATGTGAGCATGGAATAAACGCTCCATTCTGGAACAACTTGTCCATATACAACCTTCATAAATAGACATCATAATGAAATATATATATATAAAAACACAGTTTAAATCAAGCGAATTTAAGGATGGTAGCATTTCTCACAAACATCTCCATACTGAAGGTATCACTCATACATTGCCACTAGGTGGCATTCCAGGTCAGGAAAACCGTTGACGTGGTTATGCTCTGAGTCGGCCCTTCGGTGTAACTTGATGATGGTTGCATGACAAAACAATGACATTTGCAGTATTTTATGGTTTATGTCTTGGATGAAGACTTTTCTATTTAAGCTGAAATGGAACTAACACATGTTCCACTCAAAACCAGTTGTTGATAATAGGACGTTTTGGGGTTTAGTTTACCTGGAATGTTAGGCCACAGCACTGGTTACTGTCGTACGAAGTTTCACTTTATTTTGACTACATCAGAGGAAGAAACCAAAGCATGCACACTAAATATTTCTTCATTTCAGGTCCAGCAAAAAGTCCGTATCCTGAGTTGATTACTCTTGCAGTTACTTTTTGTCATTAAATTGTCAAAAAGTAATTTTTAATTACTCACAGACATTACTAGAGTAGTATTTAACTTTTCCATCACCTCAAGTGATGGAAAAGTAAAATGACCCAATATTAAGTCAAATTTGACATTTTAACAACTTTCAAAAATATATGTTATTGCTTTGTCAGTTATTCTGTGCACATATCTTCAGTTCATGGTCAAGAATGTACATATTACATACCTTACTGGGGGGTAAAGCCTTAGGTAGACAGATAATTCAAATGAAGACTAAATATGTGACACAGGATGAGTTGCAGTGGCGAAAGGATTGGGAAATGTGCACTGGTGGGAGAGAGAATATAAATAGTTTGACATGCTGCGGGGCTGCTGCCCGAGGGCTGTGGCTTGTAATAACTGTAAATTCAGATGTCCTAGTCCTGAGTCCTCCTGTCCTGAGCTGTCAGGCCAGTAAGGATGCACTTGGTCCCTGGTGGGGATATCCTTAAAATAAGAACGTAGTGGTGCAAAGGAGGTTTTTTTCCTCCCCTCTGACATTGACTTATGGGGCTCTGGGCTCTGGCCGGTGGTCTGAACAATTTGCGGTACGGCAACATCACCGCGTGCAGAATGAATGATGTCCTGCAGTGTTTTTGTTGGGGCGTTATCAATGTGCTGACTATAAATAATAATTACCAAAAAAAATAAAAGGCCCTACGCTTGACCAGAGGACTTTCATCCAAAATGTCTGTTTTTCTTTCTGGTTTGAAAGTATTGGGGTTTTTCTCCTGGGCTGGGCCACGTGAGGCCTGGGGAGATGAAGACATGCACATGTGTGCACACACGCACAAACACACACTCGTACATACAAGTAGAAAAAATACATTTCCTAACCTCCTAAAATAACCTGAATTATCACCAATAAACTGTACATCTAATCCCAATTTGACCTCTAATCTGACCTTGATCCAAACTTCAAATTAAATATTGAACCCTAAAATCCTCTCTCATTCAGTAGAGTCATTTTAAGTGTCAAAAATGTCACCTCCAACCTCACACATGTACACACTGACACAAACAGAACACACAAACAGGAAAATGAACACACAAAGGCCAGTTATTAAAAAAAAAATCAGATTATTGAAACACAGAGCTTTAATTAGCTCCACTTGCTGCCTATGCTTTGAAGTGCCCATCTGTGCATAAGAGGGCAGTTCACCCTGAGTCATTATCTTCTCGTAAATCTACTCTCTTCCTCAGCAGAGCTTTCACCTCATCCTCTAGAGTCCTGCTTGGGTCTTTCTGCCGCTCAGGCTGTGGTATTATAAACTAGGAGAACATTTTGTGGGTTTGGCCCAGGCTAAAGCAAAACTTGGACCCACCCGCTAATTGCTAATTACAAGCCCCTACCCAGTGGTGGCTTGACTCTTTGTCAGGGGCTTCTTTACTTGCTCTCCATGAAAAAAGCCCTGCAACCCAAGCCAGGCTTGGCCTTTGAGCTGCAGCCGATGGGTCCCCTGAGGAGTGCCACAGATCCACGGCCCATGACTCACAATGTGGCTGCTATATTGCTGCCATGCACATTAGCTGGACTTAAACATGGCAAACTGGCTGTTTTCATAACTCAATATAATGATTTGACTCCTCTGTAAAACACACCGAGCACGACTCCACCGCTCGCCCCTCCTAGTCTAAGTGCATTAGGAAAGTACGGCAGCCCTAGGAAACCAGAAAAGATGAGAATGTTTCCATTCTTCTTCTCTAATTCTGACTCTCCTCTTTTCTTCCTTAGTGCAGTGTACATCTCATTCTGTGGACACGGCCACTTCTATTTGCCTAATATTAAGCATCCGATGCTGCAAGATGGCGACCTCTGTACAGCGACCCCTTCTGTCTAAATAACATATGAAAAGGGTCATTATACAGCTACTAAAACAGCTACATGCAATGTACAGTTTACTCTATTAGCCAGTTAACGGTACTAAATGTTCACAGTGAAACCTTCAACATCTCAGATGTCAGCGTAAAGGCTTTTATTTTGATTCCAAAGTCTTCTCATGAGCCATATCTCCTGCTCATTTCAAAGGGAAACTCGCGATTTGTGGGAAGACTAGTGCTTTACAAACCTCTCTTTAAAGTCTTACGCGGCAGACAGGTAGCGAAGTGAAGTGCGATACTTCAGGTGGCGTTAGCTTAAGGAGTCAGCGCAGCCCCTTCATTCGCTTCGACCTGTCACTGATTAGTCAGTGAAATAAACAAAGCCTTAAATAACAGGATGAGAGCTGCCCCGGGGAGAGACTGGGGAGTTGTCTCATCATGTTGCTCACAATTTAGGAGACTTTTAGAACACTCCCTCGCCCCATAAATCCTGCTCAAGAGATTATCTGATGTGAAGCTGGGGATGCTCAGCAAATCCAAATATTTTCCTGAGCAGGTTGTGGATCATTCTTTGTTAGTGCAGTAACTCATTCCCACACAGCTCGAAGTGCTGCTTCAGAGGGACATTAATGGCAGCTCGACTCTCCACAAGTTACTTACTTTGGTTTTGGCAAGAGATATGGCTATTATTTGTTGACATATTGTTCTGCTAAATCACAGAGACTTTAATGTGTTTTTGATGTTGACCAGAAATTGTTTGTGCGGTGACTTCTGTAATTGTTCCACCGAGTCTGTGATCACGCAATTGGTTGCTTCCAAGAAGTCCTGATTACTGTGAGCTTTAGAGATCAAATAACTGGTCTGTGTAGGACTTACACTGTTACATTTTCACTGTAAGGCCAACAGCCATGTTTGTGTTTGTGTATGTCTGTTTTCTTCCCCAGAGTGGCCAGGCTTCAACGCTCCGACACCGTTCGCTGTATCAAGGCCTGTCAGGCTGGTGATGTCACCTGTCTCATGGACCCCACACACTCAGTGTCCCACACCTTCATCTCTCTGCCAACCTACAGAGATTTCACAAAACCTGAGGGTTAGTACCAGCTGGATTTTGGATAAAAAAATCTGTCTATTAATTATTGGTTATTCATTAAAAGTATAATAGGAGTTGAATACGGTGATATATGGCGATATAGTATTGTCGCTTCCGTTCACAGTCCTGCGGAGGAGCTACGAAACTTAAATTAACATATGCAGAGTGTCTCCATGTAGAATGAAATTCTTACTCTGTCTACAAGAATTACAAACTATTGCATTTGCAGACTTAAACAAAATAAAAAAGAAACAATAGGACAATTAAACGCAGCATGTGAACGAAGCAATAAAAATACAACCTCAGTACTGGCGTAAATAAAAGCACAACAGTAAAAAAAAAGAAACACACCACAACTTTTACCCAATGTTTTTTTTTTGTTGAACTGAATCTAGACACATAAGATGTGTCTAGATTCCATTTATATTACTTTTATAGTCATTTGCACAAACAGCAGATAAGAGAAAATGAAGGCAGATGGCAGCATCACTGTAAATGACTATACCGTACCACAAAACAAATCTAATCACCCAATACATTTTCTAAGAGGATTATATTTGTACATTTGTTGTCACTGAAAATTAAGCAACTTAAACTTATCATTAATAATTCCCCCAACGTTTTCACTGTTGACAGCAGTAGCTTTGTAGCTGAACTTGAACCAGGGGAAATCTTTTAATCTGACTCTACATCCATACACCATCAATCAGCATCAGTCTCAGCTCAGAAATAAACATGGGAATTTTGAAGGAGTGCTGTTCTCACCTGCTACCACCGTTATTTTAAGCAAGAGGGATACACTGTGCCCTACAGGTATGTAAGAGATATCACAGTTGGCAAAGGAGATTTGAAAAATGGTGCCTTACAATATTAAGACGTGATCACTGAGCCCCTCATTCCATTTGGATATTTATTTTAATCTTCCTTCGTCTCAAACTCCCATCAGAACAATTTCCTGCTGTCATAAGAATCCACGTAAGCACCTCCAACCCCCAAATTGTCTATTCCACAAAGTTTTCTGTGCAGTCTGGCCCACAGCGGAGACTTAAAGCCACGCCATTTGGATGCTGCTTGAGTTACCACAGTAATCACTTGCAGACAGTGACAGCTGACAAGTATCTATTGGACTGCATGCGGAGCATGCTTCAGACACACTCATGCTGACTGTCACAGGGAGTTATGATCTTGTCATTTCTCATAAGCTCTACGTTGGGTGTAAAGGGCTGGAGGGCCTTCGGCTGAACAGCAGCATTAAAAAAAAACTCAACCTTCGTGTGACCCTCTTAGTGTATAATAAACACAGACATTTCTGTCTCTTGTTTTATTGTCTTTTTCTTGGAAAAAAAAAGAATTGGCACCAGGTTGACATTGCAATCCCACTGTGATTATAAGGGCTTGGGTTCCCAAAAGCTCTTTGTGTCTAATTGTTATCTTCCAACAGAGATTGTTTTCCTGAAAACCACTGTGTCGGCTTACGGACCCTATCACTTAGGCAGTTATGATGTCAAGTTTGACATTCTGGAAGGCAACATGCACGATGCCTTCGACATCATCAAGCGGGTGGAGAACGGATTTTATGTGGGTAAGTGCAGTGCTTTTTTTCTTCGTTACTTTGTGTTTTGTCAAGTCTCAATGAATCCATCAAATGCAAACGGCAATTCGACAATGGAAGCTCTAACTTCCAGTTTGTACCACCCGACAGCCACTGACTGGAAATTGCATTTCTTTTTGACAAAATTTGTGGTTTTTCTGACCTCATTTCTCATTTTGAAATATATATATGTGTTTTTTTTTTTCAAATCAAACTCACATGTGGAGACTGAGAAAAGCCATAAAAACAGACAAAAAAAAAAAACCCTCCAAAGAAAATTCCTGGACCTCCTGATATAAGGACATAAGACATGGTTCCTTCTTTTTTTTCAGCAGTGTGGTGGCACTTTGTAGCTGTCATCATCTGTATGGGGGCTCCTGCTGCCCGTGTCTTAGGCGAATTGTCCTCCTGGTGGCTCTTTGAGACAGACGGAGGCATGTTTTTGTCTCACTCAATATTTGGCGCGGGTTTCCACAGTCTCGCGGTCAAACAAAGTACCATTTAATTCACTTATCCACGCCTAGGCTAGGCAATTCATTGCTTTCCACAATCAGATACAGTGATCTGGAAGTGCAGGAATAAATGTAGTAATCCATACGTGTGTATGTATATTCACACATACGCATGAGTAATTGCAGTTGACAAGCACTTCATCATAACTACCTGTTTGGTGACCGCCAGCATGCAAACAGAGCCAAAGTAGGAGCAGCAGATACCATCGCCAGTGGTGTGTAACAACAACACATGTTTGGGTAGAAGCCAGTCCCATCCCTGAGTCTGGTGGAGATCCAGTGCTGCTGCACGCATCTGGGAGATATGAACTGAACATTGACCTCAGGAGAATGAGGGTGCTGTGAGACTGAGAATGACAAGGTTGTCCAGGTGATTTTGTTTTGGTTGGGTGTGGGTGAGTGTGTGTCAATGCATGCGTAGTAGCAGTAGAATAACACGGTCTCACACCTGCTGTTGGTCTGCACATCTGTTTTTACAGAAAAGCAACAATAACAACAAAAAAAACCCAAAATGGTAATGCACTAGGACCTGCTGACTAGGACTGAAATTTGATAAACTTGACCAACCCACACAATTATTAACAGATTCTTTAATGACGCCTCCACCAAGGACTTGGTCGTCACAAGTCGCAACTCACCCCTTTGTGCTAAATTTGTGAGACAGTTTTCTGTCATTCAAAGGAAAAATATTGATCTAAGTGATAAGTAACAGTTTGAGAGTGAGGTGTAACAAAAAAAAAAAATCATATTGATCAGTAACGACACTAAATGTCTACACTGAAAGGTGTAACAACTGAAGGTTTGAGTGAACAAACTTTCTGCAGGTATTTATACAAACTTGTACATACAAACAAATGTACACATTCCTTCAGTCCTTTCATCAGTGTTTGTCTTTGTCAGTGGTGTAATTGTGAGTAATATGCATAATGAATGTGCGTGACTGTGTAAAGAAGGTTTAAGGAGAAATTCCTTGTTTACAGCTGTGCACATTAAACTAAGTATGTGTGTGCGCAAGGAATCCGAGTAAAATACAATTGCAGAGAAAGAGAGACAAAATAAGGTGGTGATTAAATGTAGAGAGAGAGAGAAAGAGAGCAAGACAGGGAGACAGAGAGAGAGAGAGAGAGAGAGAGAGAGAGAGAGAAAGTATGTGGAGACGTAATCCTGACGCTCTGCTTCATGTGGTTGGATGTATTGTTCCATTTCCCCACACTAGGCCTCAGTGTCTCGCCGAGCATTAGAGCACTTAAACTGACGACCACATGAAAGCACTGTTTGCGAGGAGCCACTTCTCTCCCAAACCCATTGGATGCTTATTGGATGCAGCTCTTGCATGTTAGCACCAGTTGCCCATCACATAACCAAAAGTAAGGCACTGTGCACTGGTGCCTCTGGTCGTTGACCACTCACTGTTAAGTGTGGTGGTGTCCATCGTGCTACGAAGTCTTCCCTTAGTTTTATTTTGTGGCTTGTGCTGCCAGGGCTCAAGCTCGCAGATGCTCCTGTTGCGTAACAACTGTATTGTTGGAGGCCTGCTGACGTGTCACTAATGGGAGCTCAGTTTCCAGTATCTCCAGTGACTCCAGCAGATGCATGGGATGCAAAGAGCAGCAGACACCGAGGCTCCACTAATTAACGAGTGTGAAGCTTAAACTAATGTTTGCAATTGTTTTTACCAACTGTCGGTGCTTTTGACACACTTGGTAGTTAGAATTCCTCAAACTCAAAAGATTATATTGCTCTCTTTAAAAAAAAACAAAACAACAACATTTGGCTGCACAGACAAAAACACAATGACTGCCTGCACGCAAACACACACACACACACACACACACACACAAATATGCACTTATGTACATTGGCTGACAACACAACCAATGAGAGCCACACCACTCTTTTCTGCCTCCTGGTCATCCATCACTGGTTTTCCGTGCACTGTCACATTTGGATGCCAGCCTCGACAGCTCTACGCATCTGTGCAAACACAACCAACCATCGGCTCCCAGAAGAAAATAGAACACAATCAAACATCAACACGTCCTCTTGATGACCACAGGAGCACAGTGGCAAACCACATAAAATCCATTCAGATCTGTAGACAGACAGCAGACCCACTTTGGTGATATTTATATATTGCATTTAAAACAAAACGACAATGATTGATGTGCTTGGAAGTAACGGTGAACTGTAGAGGCGGGAATCTCTGGGAGCCATCAGCATTAATAAATAAATCTATGAGTGAATAATAAGAAAAGCAGGTGGACTGATGTTCCTACTAAAAAAAACTCGGGGATCGCAGGGTCAGCGTGTCATTGTCATCGCTGGACCCAGTGACATCATCACAGAGGGTAAACTCTGTCACCGTTACTCAGTTGTTACAGTGACCTCTCCTGCAGTAAAAAGGTTTTTAAAAAACCACCAGTAAAGTTTCTTACTGTTCACCACATGAAGAAAAGAGTTGATTAAAGTTGTCTGTGGCTGGGCCAGCTGGATGACCAATATTAGTGTGGGTGCCTGGAATGTACAATACAGTAAGTAGGCAGCTGTGGAATCAACCGGTCATCCACTGGATCTGTCCAAATGCTTGCATGAGAAACAATTTGTCATATGGAAGATTTTTTCTACAATTAATCACTGCTGTCTAGGTCACGCTTGCGGGAAATATATATGTAGGGTTTTGGTGTCATTTTTACAGTATATTAATCTTTCTGCAGGGTGACAGATTGTACAGAATCCATTTTTTTTATTATAATTTATGGCCCTTCTCCGGGGACATTTAACAGTTGAGACACTGCAGCTAAATTCCATTCATTTTTGTATCACAGGTGACTATATTTCTCATTTATATCGTGCACAGAGAAGAGATTTCTTGTGTGCCGAAGTTGGCAAGCAGTTGGTCGTCAGTGAGGACAGACAAAGAGATGAATGGAGGAGGAAGTAAACAGTTTGTCTCCATGTAGGTAGTCAGAGGAACCGTCCACAGTGGCTGTTGGAATGTGGGCCTACTGTGTGAGACGGGACGACCTCAGAGCCAGAGAGGCTTGTGGCTGCACTGCTGAGAAAATGAGGAGATAGGCAACCAGCTTCACAAGACCGAGTATTTGTCACTTGGGTGAATCATGACATGACGGCAGCGTGCACACAGGAGCGTGCCAAGCCTGTAAGAACTCCAAGTCTGTTCCGCTGATAATTAGGACAATTACTGTATTTTCCAGACCATATGTCCCACTGAGGTATTAGTCACACTGGTCATAAAATGTGTCGAGAAGAGAGAGGAAAAAAAAAAAAACAACAACATTCAACCGATACTGGTCAAAAAGTCATTTTAAAATTTAAAAATGTAACAGGCTAACAGGTTCAAAATCTTTATTTACAAAATCAGAATCTATTGAAATGAAGTTTTTTCTATTTGATTGCTTTTTATTTGTGTTGTACGGAAGTGAGAGATGAGTGGTGTAAAAAAGGCACGTCACATGGTCAGCTGTGGTGTTCAGTTGTCAGAGATAAAACAGTGCCCTCTTGTGGCCATAGATGAAATGGGGTTATTTTGATATATAAGTCGCTCCAGAATATAAGTCGCAGGATGAGCCAAACTACTAAATAAATGTGACTTAAACATGTATGCTGAACAATATGGTAACCTAAACCTTATCTTTACCACCCAAAAACCCAGTGCTTTTCTCTGTTCATATCTAGTATATTGATTCCAATTACACCAATAAGTTGGCTCTGTGTTTTATCACATGCATATTTTTTTTACCTATCACATCTCATAATACTATGCTAACCTCATTTGTTTCACACAGTCAAGCTAAAACTGATTATAATCGTATAAATACCACACTTGGATTAACAAGACTTTATAAACCAGTTAACTGTGCAAATACAGGGATTTTCTTCTATTTTTTTCCCCCACTCCTGACAGTGACGGCTCTATTTCTGCTGCTCAGTTACGGTTCCTAGCTTCAAAATGTCACTTGTAATATAGTGCAAAGGTTGCGGTAAAGATAATGGCACATGTTATGTCATCTCAGCTGCTGTGGCCCACAACTGCTAAAACAGAAAGTCCAAGAAAAGAAGCAACTGATTCCTTATGGCTACTTTTCAATGATGTCACTACCCAGTGAGTGTCACTTTTCCAACAATGTCCCATGAGCCTTCTTACATCTCTAACTGTGACTCACTGGTAATTGACCTTGAAATATCAAGCCACATAGACTGACCTTTCAGAGTGGGAGCCAACTCCTCTTTAAAGCAGCCAGTAGTGTGTTTGCACAGCCTGACCTGACTGGCCAACCGTGTAGCAGTGGCAAGTGGCCTGACCCTAAATGCTAAAATCTGTCACCCCCAGGGACCTGTGCACTGCAGTTAGCTCCAGTTTGAGTCCAAACAGATGATATTTCAACATGGCCGATGGGTTATCAAAACTCAAACCAGTTGTTTTGATTTACTGCGAAGCAAAAGCCTATTTTGTCTTCTATCCCCTGAAGGAAAAAAAGTTGAATGGAAGTGAATAAACAACCCTCTGCTGGGCTGTTGTTTATTTCAACGGTTCTCTGTTGTATATCAGCGATACAATCAGATACAAAACACATCACTGTCACAGTCACAATGCTAATGTGGAATGCCCTTTAGTGTGCTCTTTGCATGTTGGAATTTTGTACACCACCTGGATGCTCTCCAGTGGTTTCACTGCAGTGAGCATGCATAGCGCCACAACCAGCGTGTCATTATACAATACTGTGGTGAGGCCAGTGCATACTTTTCATTTGTCTCTGGTGTTAAACCCGTTCATTTTGGATTCTGTCATACACTTCCTCGCTGAGTTGTAGAAACCAAAAAACCCAGAAATTGTACTGTTTACATGTAACCCTTCAATATTGCAGCCTTTGTGGCCACGAAGGATGACAAATGCCTTTTGGCGATTGCTTGACTTTGTTTTGTGGCAGTGTCTCTGCTACCAGTGTGCTTTAATTTATGGTTATATTCAAGGGAAGGGTCTACTTTATGGTGTGGGAGAATGGTTGAGAGTGGGCATGCTGCACAGCTGCTGGTCCTGGTGGTGGCTCTTTAGGTCAGCGGAACTCACCTTTGTCACCCTGCAACATACCTCAATTACAGTGGATTTAAAAACACCACAAATCCTTTACAGTACTACAGCTCCCGCTTGGCCTCTGGAGGCTTCAGATGATTCGTCTTTTCTAGTTGGTCAGCGGACACTCAGCTGTAGAATGTGATATTAATTTTAGTACGGTAACCAATCAATGTCAACCTGTTACGTGGCTGCTGGCTTTACAGCTTAAACAGATTAAAGACGCGGTTGTTGTTTCACCAGGTGAACCTTTCCCAGGTTCAGGGCGAGCATGTTGAGGCCCAGCTGTTAGTCGATGCTTTCCCCTCACTGACGATGCCAGTGATGGGAAGCCTACGGAAACAAAGAGTCATTACACTAGAATTTCACAAGGGGTTTCAAAGAGGTCACAGACACTGATTTTAGTATCAACCTGTTTAAGCAAATACTCCCAGCTCTCAGTATTATAACATAATAACTGCTTTGTTTGTCCTCAGGGCTGTGGGAGACATAAGATAAACCCTTTAGTTTATCTCGCAAGTTCTAATCCAGATAATAAAAATGAAAATCTTTGGTGTTTGTAGTTGGTGCAGCAGGTCTGCAGATTCAGAGGCGCGATCATAATAACTGTTGCTCTAAAGATAGATAACCAATAAAATACATGTAAAAAGGTTATTTTTGTATTAAATAACGCACCATGATCCAGCCCAGTGGCTGTGGACCTCCTGAGTTACAGGACCCACAGATTTGTTTTGGAGGCCTCCAACATCACAGAGCATCAAGACAGACTTTCTGAACAGTACAACCTCCATCGCTGTGTCTCAACTATTGAGGCACTTTACCAAACTATAACATGTAACCCAGAGAAATATGGGTCACAGAAGCTCTGTGGGATTTCAAAATTGAATTTACTTAAATATCTGCTCACACACGTCCCAGATCTTGCGCCAGTGTTACTTGTGTGACTTTTTTTTGACTTTTTGGGCTTTTTAATCTTGTTGCAAGGTTTCAACAAGGGTTGCTGCTGCTGCTTTGTAAACAATTGCATCCCCGTTCCTTCTTTTTCTCCTAGTGTCACTATGCAACTCAATCCCAAAACAACAAAACACAACAGGGGAGAGTCTGGTAGAAACGTGCCCATTCCCAACTTCTCCAAATGCTTATCGTCACAATCTCCTGGAATTTGCTGTGTGCCCACAGATTTGACTCACAACGGAGAGAAAGAGAGAAGGAGAGAGAGAAGAGGGAGTGAGTTGAAGAGAGGGGCAGCAGTTCCTATAGCTCTGCCCGTCCCTGACTTATAGATGGATTCTTGCAGGAATTCCTCCGTGGCCGTATTGCGTGACTGTGACTCCTTCTCTCCATCAAACACATGGGACTCATTTACCCTCGTGGGCCACAGTGATGGTGCCACAAACACCAGGCCCTCTCGGGGGGGAAAGAGGGGAGAACGAGAGGTGGGAGAGTGAGTGGGTGAGGGAATCTGCCAATGGATGCAGCGGGTAGTGGTTAATGTATCATTATTTTCCCCAAAGTTAACAATGACCAGATGGGTTTTTATTATTTTATCACAAGTATCGCAGCAAGAAGCCTCATTATTCAGCCTGATGGAGGCAGTGATATATGTTGATCCATGTCAAATTAACGTGAGTCACCACCACCACCATTACAACCTTAGTGACTCAGTAATGAGCAAGACAAACACGAGAGGGCTTTAAGCGAAGACGATGGTGAGAGGGTTTGTTGGGAGGGCAGCGGGATGATTGTGCTGCCTGGCTGCGTCTGCTGAAGTCTGTTCAAACACAGCAGAGCTGAAATGTCACCAGCCCTCAGCAGAGAAAAGGCTCACTCAAAGCCTATATAAACACAGGGATTTTTTTCTCCCTCTCTCTGTAGGAGACTGTAACACTAAAAAAAGCATCGAGTGAATTCCATATGCATTTCGTAATGTTTGAATTTTTCTCTGTTTGATTTTGAATTGTTTGTTTCCTACCTTTTCGATAATGACTAAAAACTTAGAGAAATGAGTGAACTTCAGGATTCAGATGTACATATGATACCCTAGTCACTGCGGTGAGATATGCTAAGGTGAAAGGCTTCCCAAATATCTCAGGCTTGCCTCTCGCATGATACAAGAGTAAGAATGGTGTCCACACCATCTTTCTTTATCTCATTACACATTTATGACTAGTCTTAATCCTTACCCTGACTTTAATCTTACCCTAATTGCGATCTTAACTCCATACTAAACATTGGACCTCAAAAGACCCTTTGCAAAACAATAGTACTTTTCTAAAATGTCCCCACAGGGATAGCTCTGCTCAAGCCCCTTAGCCTGAAATTGATCAAATCCAAATCCTAATCCTTGAACTTACTCCAGCCAATAGGAATACTCTGATACTCAGTGGGCTGAACTGCTTTTTGCACCATAGACCAATATTATGCAAGACAAATTTTCCACACATTGTGGCAGCGCAGTGTGTGTGTGTAAGAGTTCGCATGCATAAGAAAACACAATGAAGTGCTCCATAAATATTTTAATTATTACAAATATAATGTAAATAAAACTTTTTATTCTTTCTGTGCTGTCTGGAACCAAAATATCCATGGCCCGCAATTGGTCCGTGGCACGGTAGTTGAGAAGCCCTGCTCTCACCCAGTACACTGTGGTTTTACATTATACCAGGGCATGAGCTGTCTCTATGAAATCTTTCTGCAGAGAAACACAAACAAACTGTAGCTGCATGACATTTATATGAACTTTGTGAGGCACATCGGCATGACACCTCATTGAATACCTATTGAAATCAGTGGATTCTTTGGTCCACCTGATGACAGACACTGTTCTCCTGTGTGATTTTGCCAAGCGAAAGGCTACACAAACATCTTTAAATTTAAAGACAAAAATCACAGCCCAGAAGGAAAATTGAGTTCTCTTTTGCCAAAAGACATTGTTCGTGTAAGAGTTGGTATTCGCTGGTGCCATTTTCGCTACTGAATAAGTGTAGACAGCTGTGTTGAATAAAACTGAACCATGTATAAATTTGACAGAACTGTCAAACCTGATGGACAACAAAAGAGAATGATTGGTTCAGACAGCCTGCGATCCCCACATTACGTTTGAAAGGATGATTTGCGTCATTCATCGAATGACAAAAGTAATTTTTCGATGTGCCGAGAACCACAAAAGAATTCCAGTGGCCTAAATTGTATTTGGGTAGAAGCTTAATTTCTAAACCAAAAATATCTACAGGGCTGATATAACTTGAGCAAAGTGGAAAAATAATACTTTGGGTGACCCTGTTGGTACAGGAGTCAAACTATTTAGAACCAAGTCCGAATAAGGAAGACCGAGTTAATAAATTTGATTGCACATAATTTCAGTGTGATCAACAGTATAGATGTGAAAACAGCTTATTGTGACTTGTTAGCTTGACATGTCACAGCGCTGACACAGACTAACACATACATTTAATGCTGCTGTAATCTTCCCTTGTCTCACGCAGGTGTCGTTCGCCAGATAAAGCCTCTGACTGGTCCGTTGACCACAATACTGAAGCTTTCCATGCAAAATCTGACACACCACGGTGGGCCAAGCCAGAACGTAATCAACGTCCACGTGTTTATCGCAGAGTTCTGGTTCTAAGACGTGGCTAAAGAACGTAACCGCACATGTTCATCGAGCAACACTGAAAGTATTGGTTTTGTTATCTCTGCACAGACTTATCGAGGTTTTTAATGTATTGTTGGATTTGTTTTTTTGCAGTTTCTGGGATGAACATACGCTTTGGAAATGTGATGTGATGAAAGCGTCGCTCTAATGACAAGCTCTCTGAAGCGCATTTTCAAATGCTTTAAATGTATATAAGTAATGAAGGTTGTGCAAAAACGTCGGCTGACGAAAGAAGCTCATCTTTGAAAAAATGAAGCAACTTCTTTCTTGATAAATAACATGCATTACCTGGTGGGTCTTAATGTCTTAGGCTGTTCGGCAGCAGAGTTGGTCCAACAAACTCAATGTCCATTACCATGTGTATTATTCTTTAATTTCTCTAATCTGATTGTTAACAAAGTGAGAAGTAGCGCATATGCTTCTACCTGCACTCTCGTCTGTGTTAGCTCTACAGAATGTGGAACCAGAGATCAGCTCTGTCCATTTCTTGTATACAGTCTTTTGTAAAAACGAAAAGAATTTAGAACCTTTTTTTGCATGTATCTACAGAGACTATTAAAGAATATGATGATGACCTTTAGCTGGTGTTTGTTTTATGAAATATTTACTTTCCATTTCCTACTCTGTGTATTGAAGAAAGTGTGTTTTCAATTTAATAAAGTATGTATTTCAATTTTCATGACTATTTTCTTTACTACTACCCTGTACCGTGTCATCCATACAGTACAGATAACCAACATCTTAAATAGTTCCAGATCGCTGATCCATTGCTTCTCTGAGATGGAACCCTTTCAATTATTTCATTTTTTTTAACTCACACAAATGTATGACCAATCTGAATCCTCGCCTTAACTGCTCTGACCCTAATTTTTATCCTGACTCTAAACTCTAATCTGTTTCTGTGCCATCTTTTTGTGTTTCTACACCAAATATAGAGAAACACACACGACCAATTATAAGACATGGGTATATTTCAAATATGGTGTTGTTTTAGCAGGTGGAAATAGATGATAATCTATTAACAACATAATTGAAAATGTAATCGATTATTAGACTATTTTAATTGAAAAAATGCTTTATAACTACATCAAACGAGCTGTAGCACACATGGAGCCCGTGTGTGCTACATGATGACACTAGTCCCAGAGCAGGTACATGTTACTTTTACATATTTAAGTAGTACAGGAGCATTGGTGTTAAATCGCTCCAGTGTATCATCACCATGGAGTGGTGTGCCGCCGTGCACATGTGGGAGTGTGTGCAGCACGGTGGCTCACTGTCAGTGAACCAGAACGACTTCATCAAACATGGGGAAACATCAGACAGTAGGAGAGTGAGCTGAACACACGTCAGCGGTGGTCCAGGATGAAGACTGTAATCATCACTGTGGCCAGACCCAGCCTGAGCTTCCACGCGCTTCAAAGACAATGAAGGAGGAGATGAGTGTGGCAAGCTTCTCAACTCACTGAACCTAATGGGTTTTAAGGCTCTAGTGGAGGGAGGCACATCCTCATCAAAGGAAATAGAGGGCAGCAGGTCAGCTCTGTGGTCAACATGTAAAGAACGGATACGGAATGTGGTGTGTGTGTGCGTGTGTGTGTGTGTTTGAGAAAACTGTGGGGGAAAAGTTTCATTTTTGTTTTTCTCGTGGTAAAAAACAAACAAAGTATTATTAAACTATTAAAGTTGGTTAAACAAATAACACAAATAAACATGTTAGAGTCTAAGACTGTAAAGGTATTATATATTTATAAATATAGATTATGTAGTAAACATAATACAATCTTTACATACTGGCATGGTAACATCAAATTTTATGAGCATAAAGGAAGGAGATTTCAATTATTTAGTATTACAATGAGAGTATTTCAGAAAACACTTACAGCACAAATAGAGTTAGCATTTAGCAGTTAGCAATCTTTAGTTCAATTCACTTGTATTGCTATATAACGAAAAAGAACAAAACAATTATTTTTAAATCTATTCACAAAGTGAAGGTAAAATCATGTGTGTGACATTCTGGCAGCTTGTCTGCGTCACCTGTACCAGGTGTGGGTATAATGACTGGGTAAAGGAATCATTTTAGGAAACTCTAGGGTAAATGTCAAGGGTGAAACCGTTAATTAATGCGGTTGACCATCCAGGCCTCAAACAATTTTATGTTAAAAACTGTGTAGATACTATAGTAAAGAGTGAGATAGAAGTTACAGTTTGTTTCTTTTAAAGTTTTGCAAACAAAAACAACTATTTACAGTTGTTACATTTAGTTATAAATGTAAAAGCTGTAGTTATTACAGTGGATATGAACATTTTTTGTAAGACGTATGTAAAAAGAAGTGTGTCTCAAGACGTTCCCTTACTTGTAGGGTCAGTCTACAGTAGTGCATAACAACATCCACAGAGCAGGACATAAACAGCTGAAATAAGAGCGACATGAAGCCATATATCCAGACTGTGTGGGAGGACATTACCCTAAAATGGCCCGGCTGGCTCTAGATCTTGACTTGAAGAACGGCTGGTGCAGCAGTCTTTCTCTGTGTTACCAAACCACATACATGTGTGGGGACAAATGAGCAAATATCTTTTGCCAGATTCTCCATTCAAAGCCAAAAGGGAGCTACTTGTGCAGGAAGAAGTCTATTTGCTATGACTAAGCCGAGTGGGCTCGATGAGTCGACGTAATGGCAGAGGATCAGACCTGTGTGTGTCTGCACTGTTTGTTTGTGTACTTTACTGTGGCACAATATTGGTCAGGCCTCTCAATACAAGTGGTCATGGCGGTGTCTGGCCCGGAGTATACAGTGTACGGGGCTGATGGGAGTCTGGCCAGGGGTTATTGAGGCAGGCTAATCCCAGACAGAGACCAGAGGACCTCAGGAGGCACGTGCTCGGCCGACTCCTGCACTCACCCACTCCTTCTTTCCTGGCACCGTACCCTCACTCTCACCACAACACATGTTATAGGATATGAGTTCTTTTAATACATTTGGGGGTATTTGATTTTTCCCCCTATTTTACAAACCACTGAATCCTATTACTGTAAACACAACATTTTAAATAGGTTTACCAATTTGCTATAATTTCATATTTTTCTTTCTGGGATTTTTCCTTTGTTGCAGCACATTCAATATTAACATTAACCGAATCAATACACAGCTTAAATTATGAGATTTAAAATAAGATACACACTCAGTAACCATTAGCTTTTTCACCATGTGTAACATGTGTCCCATTGGTTCTGAGGGGATTTACAGAGTGATGTTTCCTAGGTGTCCAACAGATGGCAGACATATACAACACAAGCAGCACTCACGCCGTAGTTCTCCTTCAGCAAGTCTTGCCATTTTAGATTAAAATGGAAGAAACACTCATGAATCTGTCCTGCTATACAGAAGGCCATACGTGCAATACAATCTCAAAAAACCCATGCCTATCATTTGTAATACATTCCACTGGGACTGGATTATTCAACAAGACTACTATAAGATGCTAGTAACGGTGTCGGATTACACAGAAAACAACAGTCAAATCCGCAGAGAAGAAAATATGTAGTTTTAACACATAATATCTTAACAACGATGATATTAAATATAATAAAGTAGTAGTATTTGGAATTCTGGACTCCTACTATACAGTGCCATTATCAAAATTACATTTCTTCATGTTTGAACGCAGAGGCGGGCTACGATGGCTTCACACTGACCTGAACAAAAACTCCTCGCTGACAACTGTGTCCTTTTATAACGCAAACATTTAAACATGTTCCTGAACTCAAACTTCTCCAGAGAACACTGTGGTTTAATAAACTGCATGTACTGTACTGTACCGGGAGTGTACTTGTGAAAAACTCAAAGCATGCAGTGCTTTTGTTGTTAAATAACTGCACAGTACACGCTGTGACGTCCATAGGGCTTAAGCAGATGCATAACATAGTGAGGGAGGGGAAAGAAATCAAACCACATAAGCATCACATCAGCGTACTGTGAGGGCTACCAGAAATGTCTCATGACCCAAGAATGTAAAACGCTTTGTCTTTTACAGGCTGAATTGGCTTAAGTTTAACATAAACTTTATTTATTTATTTTTTCATTTGGTCCACTTCAATTGTCTGTTGGAGCATTGTAAAAAAAAAAGCGTTGTCCTTTGAGCATGAAAAGCCATTGTGTTTGACATGTTATTTATGGATTGAATCAGTAAGTAATGTGTGTGTTGTTTTAATTCCACCATTTTGAAAATGCATTTAAATTGTATATATTTTAAAATTATATTTTTCTAAATACTCCCATACACCCATATTCAAAGTTTATAATCATTATTATTTTTACTGAAATAGAGTCATTCAGACAACACCGAACAGCACACAGCAGTACACAGTTCAGTCACGATGGCTCACAATATTGAACGGATGGCAAAGTTATTCAATCATTGATAAACAGGTATGAAAATGTGTGAAATTGTTTACATTCGCAAAGTACAAGAATGACAAAACTGGATATTTAAATGTTCATATTATGATGACACACTGCACATTCAAAGGCTTTGTGTGTTATTATTATCATTAGTTATGATAATAGCACCTTTCAAACAACCAAGGACACAGGATGGTAATAATAATAATATATTTTTGGACTTAGAATTACAGGTCCATGGGGTCATTGATACATCCACAAACAGAAAGGAAAAATATTTACTTTTCTTGCAATAGCTGGGAGCCGACTGACACAAAACTTAGAATAAGTTGCAAATACTGTATAAAAACACCATCAGCGTATTGAGTATAACTCAGTTCTAATATAGTTAAAAAATATTTAGGATAACAAAAAGTAAAATTGTAATTATTCAAGGCTGGGCCCAAGCAGAAGAAGAACAAGAAGAAGAAAAAAGCCAAAACATCTATTAGATAGTATTTCTGTTTATGGGTTTGATTTCCCAGTGCACATCTGTATGTCATTGTTCCTAAACCACTGTCTCTGCATACCCTAAAATTTTGAGAACAGAGATCCAGGGAATTAATCATTAAATTGTTTAGTGGCATCCTGGGGAAAGAGACTTAAATTGTGAAAAAAAAAAAAAAAAGAAATGATGAAAGTTGCAAAACATTTGCTTGTGTATCTTTAGCCATTTCCTTTTTAATTTGAGTTTTCATGGACTGCATCGAAGGCAGGGGTCATTGGTGACATGACTCTGAAACACTGATATAATGCTTGTCCGTGTGAATAATTCTTATGTTGTTGTCCAACAGGGTGTTTTCTGCCTTTGTGACTTCAGAGGCCTGTGGAAATACATCAAAATGTTCTTTGTTACTGCACTCGGTCAAACACTTAAAGTAGGTTTGGTTAATGGTTAGCCTCGGCAGTGTGGACTCCTCAAGTGCAGGTTTGTGAAGGAAACGTCACTTCATCACAGCAACGCTGACCCCGTGTGTTGACTTAGCAGTCACCCTTGCAAAAAGCACACATGGAAGACACAACAAGTACAAAATACCTACCTGCCGGACATGTGGCCCACATTGTCGTCGGACTAATGTAATTCCGTTCTGTTTCCTCTAATGTCTGAACGAATTACACAGATCAAGCCTTTTAGATTCTGACGTTTCAGAACAGAGTTCAGAGAAGCCAGACTGGTTGTTAAACAACATATCCTGAGTATGTGATGATTTGTGGTGAAGACGCA